TTGTCTGATACCGCTTTCACTGCCCAGTCCAGTGACATGCACTCCATAAAGCTGGAGCTCAACGAAAAGAAGGACAAATACGTAGGTTTTATTGTAGAACTTAAACTCCTCAGGGACTGGCATGAAAGTAGACATATTTCTCTGCATTCTAGCGTTTCTTGTCCGCACTGGAGTGTTTGTTCGAATAGTGTAAATCTGATCACAGTAAGAATTTAGTACGATTTCAGAAACTGTTTCACAGTCTCAGACTGATTCACAGTCTGAGCAGCACAAACCTGGGATGTTTTCCTGCTGTATGCCTTTAGATACGACTTCAACGCGTCCCAGCTGTCGAAAGCCGTCACATCCAGATCCGGTACGTCCACTAATTCGTCTTGAGGAGCGATGTCACCTCCGTCGCATCCTTCTGTTTCCGAATCGGACGAATTTTGGCTGCTAGCATCAGAGTCTGATGCGAATGAATAATGAGATCCCTTCTCGTGCTCGGATTCTACTGACGAATCCTAAACGTTCAATGATTCTTCATTTCTGCGTCTAGAAGAGTTGTGGCGACGCGAGGATAATCGATGAGGCAATTGCTTTCCTCGCTTGGTTAGCGCTCGATCTCGGGCGGTAGGATGCCTTCTTAATCTCTTGTTCTTCTTCCGTGAGTTTGAATGAACTGCAATGTCGCGGGATTCGCCGTCGCTGTTAGATCTTGACGCAACGCTTGCTAGGTCTTCGTCACTTCCTTCGCTGTAACGGGGCTGGTGGCGGGGCATGGCGGGCGTCGATACAGCAGACGTCGGACCCGTGCTGCTTTTTAGAACGCTGGGATTCTTTTGACTGGGGAGGGGGAGACTTTTGACAGCCATTAAACTTTAGGAATGATGGTCTGCATCCGGGTGAACATCCGAAGATCAAAATGCACATCCGAAGATCAAAATGCACATCCGAAGACAACCAAAAGATTTGTCCCCACCAAAATGGCCCTTTTAAATACTGTGCAGGGGACTCCCTGCACTGTCCCCACCGAAATGGCCCTTTTAAATACTGTGCAGGGACTCCCTGCACAGTATTTAAACTGTACTGTCCCCACCGAAATGGCCCTATTAAATACTGTGCAGGGACTCCCTGCACAGTAT